TTCTTCAAATGAAGCACACAGGCATCAAAGGATATTTTAATCAATCAGAAACATAATGTTTTATGACTTGATTTTTGAATTGTTTACAAATGTTTAAAAATTCAGAATTTGTTACTCATTTGGATAATGTGTTACTAATTAAGGAACATTTTATATTATTTCAGATTTTTATGTAGGAACAATACATACTTTTTTAGTGTTAATTACTTAAGCATATCTTCTTTTATTAATTCTTAGTTGGTCCCTTCACAAGAAAAAATGTAAAAATTGAATAAAAATAACATGGGAACAAAAAATGAATCAAGAGGTGAGACAGCATAACAAAATGTATAATAAATGGGTCATTTTTAGTTACTCTACGTCACAAATTTTGTTTTCAGCTTCCTAGAGCAAGGAAAATAATAATAATTGTAAAACTTATAGTTTCTACAAAAGAAAAGCAAAATCTTTGTTGAAGAAAAGCTAGATTTTCCTAGTGCTAAAACCTGATAACAAGTTTTGAGTCTAATATCTTAAGGAAGCTATCTAAGGAAGCATATATGTTTATATAAATCATTCTCTGATAATAATCCCCAAGTTAACTGACTTAGGCAAAAAGCAGAGCATCATTTATTGGCTTATACATGGACATGGGTAATTATTTACTGTTTCAGGCAGAACGAGGTCCACACGCTTTAATAAGACCACAATGAAAATATCTCTACATTTCTTCTCCTCTGCTGACCTTCTCAGGCAGACTTTTCCCTAAGTGACGGCAAAACAGTCAAAGTGCTTTTTAGAATACATATTATCAGTTCAGTGATTCTCAACAGAAAGTGCCCCTTTCTAACACGCCCAGCGAAAATCCTAGATATTACTAGGACTGTAGGAAGATATTACTTCCAGGGAGATATTACTTCCTACAATCCAGCTTGAATTATGTATCTTTCCTTTAGTGAGTAGTTGTAATGGGTCTCACCTTGGCCAGACATGGGTCAGTCCTGAAGCCATGAGATAAAATTAGCTCCACTTAAATTATGTGGACTGAAATTCAGGAGGCTGTTTTTTGTAGAGGTCCTGGAATGTATTCAGATTCCCCAGAAGCTTAAACTGATTGCACATAGCTACAGACTGGCCATTATGGAATTATGTAGTTGTGATTGCAACTGCATATGTATGATACCCAGTAATTTTTATATACTCCATGGCCAACATATTGGCTACTATTGACACATTATACCTAGAATCCAGATGTTAGTTCCAGGAAACACGGCTAGCTTGAAACAATTTTTGCAATCATATAAGGTAATTAAGGTTGATTTTCAGAATAACATATCTAGGGGTATGCTTTTATTTTTGTGCTGTTATGTGGGTTTCTGAGGATTTAGAATATCTCTCTCTTTCCCCCAAGAAAGAAAGAGTGTCATTGCCAGATAAGCAAGCACATTTCTTCCTCTCTTCTTTGGACACTAAAAAGACATGCTCATCAGATACCCTCCTGTGTTTGACATCTCTTGGTATTTGTAGTGGGTTTACTAGCAAAAGACATCTACACTCAGAATGTCTTTGAAACAAAGACCTTTGCAGATATTATTAAGGTAAAGATTTTGTATGAAATCATCCCAAATTAAAGTAGACCATTAATATAATGACAGCTATTTCTCATAAGAGAAAGAAAAAGAAAAGATAAACAGAGAAGAAAATAATGTGAAGACAGAGGCAGAAATGAAGTTATGCTGCCACAAGGAAAAGAATGCTAAGAGCTACCAGAAGCTAGGGGAGGCAAGAAAGGATTCGCCCTTACAGTCTTCAGACGGAATGTGGCCCAGCCAACATCTTGATTTTTGACTGCTGGCTTCTAGAACTATGAGAGAATAAACTTCTATTATTTGAAACCCCAAAGTTTGTGGTTATTTGTTGCAGGATCCCAAGGAAGCTAATATAGTATCTAGTGCTTAAATTATATCCTTTGCACCTATCTAAGCTATTTAACAGTAAAATCCATAACATCTATGTGTTAGGACATTTATTCTTGCAAAACCTTCAAACAAGTTTTTCACAAAACTTCCACAAAGCCCCAGAGAAAAAAGCAAGAAGGGGTAATAGATGCTAGATGCAAGAAAGAAAAAGTGATATTTATGACATTTTAATTTCAGTTTATTATTTTTCTTCTATTACCTTTTATATTTAATGAAAAGCAATCAGCTGGGCACAGTGGCTCATGCCCATAATACCAGCTACTCAGGAGGCTGAGGCAGAAGAATAGGTTAAGGCCAGGAGGTAGAGCTCAGCCTGGGAAATATAGTGAAACACTTCCCCCATAAGGAGACAGAGGGAGAAAGAAAGATCACAACACAACAGGTGTAGAATAGAAGTTATCTAATCAGCTTAATGGTCCAATGCCTTAATAAAAGTGTCAATAATAACATTCTATCAGTTGTATTACTTGTTGTAATGCTCTCCTGTTAAAATTTATTCTGTTCACATTAGCTTAATGGCAGTGGAACCCCAATACATATACTGTTGTGCATTGACTAATTTTTCCCTTTAAAATAAACAGAACAGAAATATTGGTATTGGGTATCAGAATAAACAACTATTTATCATTTTCATCTATTTCTATGCTTTAACGACCACAAATCTAAAAGATACCTGAAATGATCCTTATTTCTCTAATTATTTCTTGTCTTACCAGAATACAGAATTACACTTCTAATCTTAAAAAGGTTGTTTTCTGAAAAAGAAGAAACATATCAAGAAATAAAGTCCAAACTTTCTCCCTTTTATTTAAGACAATGTAAAAATAATATCTTCCTTAAAATTAAGTTGCATTGGTATCAACATACCATGGTAACTTGAAAATAAAATGGCAATTCCTAAAATTGTACCCCTGAAACCAAAACTAATTACTGAAATTTAATAATCTAAAATTAACAATTTACAATTTATCAGTATTTTACTGAAGCAATGATGGTTTTTGTTTCTACTGGGGCATTTGAAACTTGGAGCCTTCATAGAAATACTAAAATAACACTGTTATTCTTAATATGCATAGTACAATCATCTTTGCCTAGTTTTTTCAGATAGGTAACAAAGGTGTGAAGCTGCTCACCTTAATGGATAATTAATGTTAACCAAAATTAATCCAAATGCATAATAATGTTCATAACCTGGTAATAAAATCTCAGTATATATGACATCAACTTTTTTTTGAGACAGAGTCTTAAGCTATGTGGAGTGCCATAGTGTCACAGCTCACAGCAACCTCAAACGCCTGGGCTTAAGTGATTCTCTTGCCTCAGCCTCCCAAGTAGCTGGGACTACAGGTGCCCGCCACAATGCCCAGCTATTTCTTTTTTGTTGTTGCAGTTGTCATTGTTGTTTTAGCTGGCTGGGGCCAGGTTCAAACCCGCCAGCCTCAGTGTACGTGGCTGGCACCCTACCCACTGAGCTACAGGCTCCGTCCTGACATCATCTTTTAAGGATATGACCATTTTAAGTCAATGCATTTCCTAAATGAATGTCTAATTTAAATTGTAAATGTACCATAGGATAACACCAAAAAATAAATTTTGTCATAAATCTATACTATTCTGTGCTTTTATTAATACTAAAATATTCAATGAATAACAAATGAATCATAGGCAAGAACAGGAGGAAAAGTAGGAAAATAAAGCAACTGATTCATCTAAAAAAATGAGAGGAAGTAATACAATATGTTTTGTGGAAGAAATCTTGTGAAGCAAAATGAAACTATTGAAAGTTTTGTTAACTATAAGAAGATTTTGAGTGAGGCAAGAACATTAACTGTCAATGGGAAATCCATTCATACTTGTGTTAAAACAAATACTAAGTAACAATATTCCACAATCATCTTTTCCTCCATTTTTGAATTATCTTTTCATAAATAAAAATAACTTTTCAAATGTTGTAGTTATAAACTCATTTCTTTTGGTTTAATAGTGACTAATATTTAAGATTCACCTCCAAGTTAACACCTTCAAATAACCAGAAAATTTTAACTTTTATTACAATCATTATAATACAAAAAGAATTATTTTTTGTTCTTAGATCTGTAACACATCAACTTAAAACTTTGTTTTTTACAGTGATCTCTATGTAGTTGTGTGAAGACATGTCTGAATGCTTTTAGGCCAAATCTAAAAAGTCATTGCTATTATTAAAAAAATTCTCAGTCCCACTAATAATGTTGTGGTTAACCTCTCATTGAAGTACTATGAGATAATTACCTTTTCAACCTAAATAAATTATTTTTAAAACATGAAAATATTTCAAATTGTATATAAAAACAGTGCACTGTACCCCATGACTGTATTAATGTGCACAGCTATGATTTAATTAAAAAAATAAAAAATAAAAACAAGTTATGACTTTTTGTAAAGAAGTATGGATAACACTCAAAGAGCTAAAAGTAGACCTTCCATGGGGGTGTGACATAATTATAAGAGGGTCTTCATCTAACAAATGCAATAAATGTAACCTGGTTCTGTGTATCCTCAATGAATCTCCAACAATTAAAAAAAAAAGTAGATCTTCTATTTGATCCTGCAATTCCATTACTAGGTATCTCTCCAAAAGAAAAAAAAAATCATTTTACCAAAAGGACATTTGCACTCAAATGTTTATAGCAGCTCAATTCACAATTGCAAAGATGTGGAAACAACCTATGTGCCCACCAACCCATGAATGGGTTAATAAACTGTGATATATGTATACCCCATGAATACTATTCAGCCATTAAAAAGATGGAGACTATGTATCTTCCTGGATAGAATTGAACAACCTCCTTACAAAAGGACCTCAAGAATGGAAAACAAGCATCCCATGTACTCAACACTAATTCCAAACTAGTAGATGAACAACTATAGGACCATATGAGAGGAAAGACAAAATTGAATTCAAGAAGGGGGTAGGGAGGAATGGTAAGAAGGGGCTCAGTAATCCCCCACCTAATAGATACAATGTAGGTATAGATGGTATTCAAAATACAGCTAGATGAGTTAAACGTAAAAAAGAAATTCAAAGCCTTTGAAAATTGGACTTACATTAACGGATATATCCGAAATTCCTTCTGTATGTTCATTTCTTTCTGACGAGTTCAGACCAGGAGACAGGCCTGGGCTGAAAGCCATGAGATCAGTCTTGGGAGGACCCTCCCCAGAGCACACCCTCTGTCGCCTCTGCTGCGAATTTGACCAACTCCCCACCGTGCTGGAGCACACCAGTTTCGGCTTACCCGGCCTGCATGCATACTCAGTGGGAGGCGCCGAGCACCTCAGCGCGGTGTACAGCAGCAACGTGAGCACCAACAGGCTGGACACCGCGCAAATGGCGATGATCAGGTACACGTTGACATCCACCAGAGCCGCCTGCGGGCCAATGGCGCCCGATAACACACGAGACGATGCCTTAGGTGCCTGGGCACTCTCCACCAATGACACCAGCACGGTTGCCGTGGCAGTCAGCACTGGCTCGCCATGGTCCTTCACCAGAACAAGCAGGCGCTGGAACGGTGAGTCAGCCTCGTCTAGGGCACGAGTAGTGCTGATTTCGCCGTTGTACAGACCCACGCGGAACGGGCTGCGTGCACTGCCAGTCACCAGCTGCAGTTCATAAGACAGCCATGCGTTGTAGCCAGAGTCAGCATCCACTGCCCGTACCTTCGCCACCACGTGGCCAGCGCTCACAGACCGAGGCACAAACTCACTCACCGCACTGCGGGTACCACCCACCCAAGGCGCCAGCAGCTCAGGCGCGTTGTCGTTCTCATCCAGCACGAACACCTGCAGCGTCACGTTGCTGCCCAGAGGTGGCACGCCTGCATCCCGAGCGCTCACCTGGAACTGCAGCAGCTCCAGCTCCTCGTGGTCCAGTGGCTGCAGCGCGTACACCTTGCCGCTCTCAGCGTGCACGGACACAAAGCTCGACAGCGCGCGCTCACCCACCCGCCTCTCCACCAGCGAATAGGACACCAGTGCGTTCTCCAGCGCGTCCGCGTCCCACGCCGACACAGTGAAGATGTGGCAGCCCGGCGGGTTGTTCTCCTTCACAAACACAGTGTACTCGGACTGCGGGAACACCGGTACGTTGTCGTTCACGTCGGCCACCTCCACAGACACAGTGGCTGTGGCCCACAGAGAAGGCGAACCCCCGTCTCGAGCTGTCACCACCACCTTATAGACAGACACACTTTCACGGTCCAGGACGTTATCCAACACCAATGAAAAGTAATTCTTGAAGGTGGACACCAGTCTGAAAGGGACATGGGGCGTCAGGGAGCAGGTGACCTGCCCATTGTCTCCTGAGTCAAGGTCAGACACGGTGATGAGGGCGATAACTGTGTTGGGTGGAGCGTCCTCTCTGACCGGCAAGGACAGGGAAGTGACTGCCAGTTCTGGGGCATTATCATTTACATCTAGCACTTTCACCAAAACCTTGCAATGATTTGACATCGGAGGGCTTCCTTTATCAACTGCCTTTACCTGAATTTCGTAAGATTTTGTTTCTTCATAATCCAGTTTATCAATTAATCTAATTTCTCCTGAGCTGGAATCAACCTCGAATTTTTCTTGAATGTCAGGAGAAATACCACTGTCAAAGGAAAAGACAACTTCACCATTTAAACCTTCATCAGCGTCAGAGGCATTTAATGTGGTCACTAATGTTCCATTTGCTGTAGTCTCTAATAAGTGGACTCTGTACACGGCTTGGTCAAACAGGGGGGCGTTATCATTAACGTCCAGCACGGTAATAAGTAGCTCAAGTGTACCTTCCAGCTCTGGTTTGCCCCCATCAATGGCTGTCAACAATAAATGAAGTTCTGGTGTTTCTTCTCTATCCAAAGATTTCCTCAATTCAAGAGAAAGAGAATTACTCTGTTCATCACTTGCCTGTACTTGCAAAGAGAAATAATCACTGGGACTGAGGGTGTATGTTAGATGGGCGTTGGCACCAATATCTGCATCAGCAGCACCCTCTATTGGAAAACGCGAAGCCAGAAGTCTAGATTCAGGAATAAATAACCTTTGTTCTCTGCTTCTGAAGACCGGTGGATTATCATTAATATCTTTCACGTTTACCTCCACATGAAACACCTGCAGTGGCCTGTCCACCACCACCTCTAGGTGGATGCTGCACTCCGCACTCCTCCCGCACAGTTCCTCCCGGTCAATCCGAGAATTCACAAACAAAATGCCATTCCGCAGATTTACCTCCAGAAGGTCCCCACGGACTTTGGATGCCACCCGAAACAGACGTGGCACCAGTTCCGCCAGCTCCAGCCCCAGGTCCTGCGCGATGCGACCCACGAAGGTGCCGTGTTTGGCTTCTTCTGGGATTGAGTAGCGTAGCTGGCCGCTCCCTGCTCCCCAGGCTGGGAAGAGCAGAAGCAAAAACAATAAATACCTGGCTCTGGGATCTCTTCTCCCCGAAAACAGCATTGCAAACGCACAACTCTCGTACTACTCTTGCATTACTTCGAAGTAATGCTTTTGTTAGTTAATATTTTCAATTATTTATCTTCTTACCGTTTTTGCCTTCTCTCGGGGAGTGACAAAATGGAGCTTCCTTCTTTATTTTTAGAAGTCGGTACTATTTCCATTTGACAAGACCTTGCGGTATACAGCGACATCATGTGGCTAACGTAAATTTTAGACCCACACGTTGATTTTCAAAATACAGTTTCTATATTCATTTGCAATTTACTCAATGCAATCATATTCGATTTTATGTCCTTTAAAGACCTTGGACATTTAAAATCTCACTTGAGAGAAAGTAACCCAGTATTTTTCTTTAGCTAATATCACAAAGATATTAAAATTGAATTGGGGGAAATTTAGGATACATTTAAATAACCTCTCATTACATTCCTTTTTGAAAAATGATTTATTAACTCATGTATTTTGTTATTAATACTTGTAATCAAATGCTAAAGTTTTCAGATAAGGCACTTTGACTACTAAGGTTCACTTTATTCTAGGATAGCTTGGTTATTTATTTTTTATATACATATGTATGTACACACACAACATAGTCCTACATATATATATATAGATAGTTAGTTAGCAGATATATAACAACACTTTTAGAAATATTTTGGAATACATTTAAAATTTCTTCAGTGTTGCATGAACAATGTTGCAAGTAACATTTTTTGTTACTTGAAATGTTACACTTATTTTAGACACTTCCCTTTGTTGCTTCTTATATAAAATAATGAACTAATTTTGAATTTATAAGTTTGTTTTCCAACAGTCATTAATTCTAAATTGAATTAGTGGCCATTGGTTCTTTATTTCTCTTTTAAATTTTCAACCATACCTTTTCCTTTTAAAGACCAAACATATGTCATATTTCTTTTTTTTTTTTTTTTTTGAGACAGAGCCTCAAGCTGAGCCCCTGGGTAGAGTGCCATGGCTTCACTGCTCACAGCAACCTCCAACTCCTGGGCTCAAGTGAGTCTCCTGCCTCAGCCTCCCAAGTAGCTGGGACCACAGGCGCCCACCACAACACTTGGCTATTTTTTGGTTGCAGCCATTATTGTTCTTTGGCGGGCCCAGGCTGGATTTGAACCCGCCACCTTAGGTGTATGTGGCTGGTGCCTTAGCCACTTGAGCCACAGGCGCCGAGCCCATATATCATACTTCAACAAAAATAATATGGATATTGAATTACTGTCAAGGACACACTGAGAATCTTAAAATATTCCATAGTCTAAAAAATATAAATCCAATGCAAAGATTAGGTTTTTAGAAGAAATAATTTGAGAATAATCTCTCAGAAGAAGGGCCCTTAGAAAAAGCTACTGTGGTCTCGATCTTGGACTTCAGAGCCTTCAGAACTATGAGAAATAAATTTCTGCTGCTTTTGAGAATAATCTCTCAAATTATTATTATAGACCTCTCTTTGAATTTCAATCCCATTCATAATCAGAACTCCAAAGCTACATCAAAGTTTGACTAAGAAATGGATCAGAAAAAAACTATGGATAATTATTTTCTAAAGAATGGCCTTAATGTTTCTACTTTAAGTACTAAGAATATTTAAGGGTTATTTAATCCATTATGTCTGCATAATCAGAAAGCCCAAATCCTTTGTTTATTTAATAATTAAAAGATAGGTAAAACATGGAGCTGTTTTATTTTTTAACAGTTTATACATTTAGTAGTGCTTCAATATAGTAATTACTTTATTATAAAGATGCAGCAATGTAAGATACATATTAATAAACATCATCATATTCCAAAAATGAAACAAATTCAGAACATGGAAATTTTCTAGAATTCAACAGATTGAGAGAACACTGTTAATTTGAAAGTGCAAAGTACTATGATGTGTTCTAAATTTTGAATAATAACACAGTGGTGAGGTTTCTGGGTTTTCTGTATTTTTTATTACAGCCAAAGACACCAACAACCTATAAATATCATTGAAAATGGATGAAAAAGAGCTCACAAATTCTGTCTGTAGACAAAGGACCCAGAAAGGAACAGCTAGCCAGACGGAAAGGTTTTAGATAATTATTTACTCCAGGAAAACCTGTAGCCCCACATCAGCCAAAGAGTGAGTAGGGAATCTGGATTTACACCCTTGCAAAGCTGTAATGAAGCATCCTGACACTACGTGGTTTTAGAGAAGGCCAGTTATAGAGCTAGGACTTTCATCCCCACCACTGCTAACTAGCTCCACAATTGTGATGTCAAGGAAGATTATGTGTGTAGTCTATACACCACCCTTACCCAGCCATAACACGGTGCTCCCTCCCCTTCTCCGCTAGAGTGGTGTCAGACAAGGTCTAATGGAGAGAGCCAGACCTTTCTAGTGGAGAAAGCCAAGACCTTTCACTATGTAATAACAAGGCCATGCCCAGCACAGGGTCAGTAAATAACACACATGGAACTAGAATTCCCACCAGACCTAGAAGTATGGAGGATACGTCTGTTTAGGTGTAAATGGAGGCCTACAGCAACTTTGACTTCTACCTGTATATGACAGCACTGAAGCAGGGCCCAATCTCTCTTTCTTTAACAGAACAGTTTCAGAAAAAAATAACCAAAACAGAAGATGTAAGTAAGTTCCAGGGTCTCACAACATAATATAAAAATCACTCATCATACAAAATAACCAGTAAGGTAACAACTGGTCATACCAATAATCAGTAAGATAACAAATTACATGTTTAAAAGAATTTCTGGTGCCAACAATGAGATGACAGGGGTGTTAGGATTCTCTGATAAAAATTTTTAAAGCATCATAAAATTACATCAATGAAAAATTGCAAATATACTTGAAATGAATAAAAAATAGCCTTGGCAATGAAATATTCTCAACAAAGAAGCAGATAACAGAAAGAACGAAATGGAAATTTTGGAACAGAAAAATACAATAACCAAAATAAAAATATCAATAGAAGAATGGAGTGGTCAAAAATAGAATAAATTAAAATATACAAAAACATAAATTACTTAATCTGAACAACAGAGAGAAAATAGGCTAAAAGGAGAAAAAAGAACAGAACCTTGGGAATATGTGGGACTGCAAGAAAAGACAACAAGCATGTCACTAAAGTTCTAAAGGGAGAAGTGAAAGAAGACAAGGCTAAAAAAGTACTCTAAAAAATAATGAGTAATATTTCCCAGCTTTAGTAAACAACATAGAGAGGAGAGCAAATCCATAGAATCCACATCAAGACACATTATAGATAAAAATTCTTAAAATTAGAGTAAAAAAATCTTAGGAACAAAAAGGGAGAAATGATATGTTACCTACACAGGAAAAATAATTCTACTTATAGTGGATTTCCTATGAGAAACTATGAAGGTCAGAAAAAAGCTACACAACATTTCTAAAGTTCTGAATGAGAAGAAATGTCAACCCAGAATTCTAGATCCTGCAAAATCCTTTGAAAATGAAAGAGGAATCAAGAAATTTTTATATGAAGGAAAATTAAAAGAATTTGTTGCCAGCAGACCTACACTAAAAGAATTACTAAAGTTTCTCTAACCAGAAAGGAAATTATGAATGAATAAATCTTGTAATATCAAGAAGGAAGAAAGAACACAACATAAATATGCATAAATAAAATAGAACTTTCTTTTCCTCTTTGTTAAGACTTTTCTAAACTATGTTTGACAGTTCAAGTGAAAATTGTAACACTGTTTCATGTGGTTCTAAATGAAAACAGAGGAAATATTTAAGACAATTATGTTGAAAATATAGTAAGGTAGAGGGATATAAAGTAGTTAAGTGTTCATACTTCATTTAAACTAGTAAAATGATAACACCAATATATTGATAAGATGTGTATATCAGTGTAACAGCCACTAAAAGCTATACAAAGAATTAAATTCAAAAATACTACAGGTAAATCAAAATGGAATTCTAAAATACATCCCAGCAGCCTAAAGTAAAGCAAAGAACAGAAAACAAAAACAAAATAACAAAGAAAACAAAAGTAAAATTACATACATACTTAAGCCCAAACATACCAATAATTATATTAGATATAAACGGCAAAAAATACACCAAGACAGGTTGACAAAGAGAATTATAATAAAAATAATGACCCAATTACATGCCATCTACAAGGATTTCACTTCAAATATAACTATATACAGAGGTTGAAATAAACATTTAGAAAACATTATGCACCCATTCATCAAAAGAAAGCAGAATATCAGAGTTTAGAGCAAATAAAATTACTGGGACAGAGAGGAAAATTATAAATGATAAGAGGTCAATCCACCAAGAAGACACAGTAATCCTAAATGTTCATGCACTGAGCAACAGAGACGCAAAATATTTGAAGCAAAAATCTCAAAGAACTCAAAGAAACAGACAAAACCACAATTACCACTGGGTACTTCAAAACTGTTCCCTGAACAATTGAGAAAATAACCAAAGAGAAAATTGAGAATATAGAACTCAGCCACATCACTAATAACAGAAATTGACATATATAGAACACGGTACTCAACAATAGCAAAATACACATTCTTTCAAGTGTTCATAGAACATGTTTTAAAATATGTTACACTCTGGATTATAAAAAAACCTCAAGAAATGCAAAAGACATGAAATCATACAGTGTTTTCTATAATCACAACGGAATCAAATTAGAAATCAATAACAGAAAGGTACAAGAAAACTCTAAAAACACTTGGAAGGCTCGGCACCTGTGGCTCAAGTGGCTGAGGCACCAGCCACATACACCTAAGGTAGCGAGTTCAAATCCAGCCCGGACCTGCCAAACAACAATGATGGCTACAACCAAAAAATAGTCAGGCGCTGTG